AAGCTCAAGAATATGGATGTTGCTGTTAGAAAGAAAACAAGTACTTTTATAAGTTGTAATCAAATAGAATACAATCTTGATCTTTATATAGACTCAAGGACTTCTACTATTCTAGGAAAGTAAATGATATTAGTAAATACTATTATAAGCCACTATCTATTGATCTTCCAATTACAATAGACTTTTAACCTTCCCACTAACTTATTAATAGAAATCCACTATTTTAACATTAAAGTTTATTCAACAAAACTCCTCTGTAAACTTAAATGTTTCTTCCATACATCATGCCTATCAATTTCTTGCCTCTATCGAAAATTTCTTTCGATAATGGTTTTGTGAAAATGTCTGCTGCTTGATCCTTGCTTGCTACATGTCTCAATTGGACACTTCCTTCCTTCACATGTTCTCGAATGAAGTGGAAGCGAACGTCAACGTGTTTGCTTCTCTTATGATTTACTGGATTGTTTTCCAACTCGATCGATGATTTATTATCCACTTGTATTACAGTTGCGCCTTCCTGTTTTAGCTCTATTTTTCTCATCAATCTTCTAAGTCATACTGCATGACAAACGCACCAACATGCTGCCACATATTCAGCTTCACATGTCGAAAGTGTTACTATTGGTTGCTTTTTAGAAAGCCAAGTAAATGCGGTGTTTCCCATGAAGAACACATATCCAGAAGTGTTTTTTCGATTGTCTATATCTCTGCACCAATCACTGTCAGAGTAACCAACTAACTTGTAGTCTTCTGTTCTTGAATAGAGCATTCCAAATAACATTGTTCTTTGGATGTACCTTAGGATTCATTTCAATGCCTTCCAATGTGAATGTACTGGCTCCTCCATGAATCGACTTATAATGTCGACACTTAATGAAATGTCTGGCCTTGTGCATGTGAGATATCGAAGACTACCTATCAAGCTTCGATATTTGCTTACTTTGACACGTTCTCCTCCATCAAATTTCGACAATTTTGCACCTGGTTCCATTGGCGTCAAAGTTGGATTAGAGCTTTTCATCTTGTATTTTCCAAGATTTCTTTTGCATATTTTTCTTGTGAAATAAAGATTCCAGTTTCTTCTTGTCGAACCTCCAGACCAAGAAAGAATCTCATCAGACCTAAGTCTTTCATTTCAAATTAACGTGTCATTGAATTCTTCTATCATTTGATCATCACTGCCTAGAAAAATAAGGTCATCGACATAGAGAGCAACAAGTAATACATTACTTCCATTTTTCTTCATATAGAGGGCATGTTCATACGGACATTGCTCGAACCCATTCTCCTTGAAATATGTGTCGATGCGTGTGTTTCATGCCCGCGGTGCTTGCTTCAGCCCATATAGCATTTTCTTCAATTTCAGCACCTTCTTCTCTTCTCCAATCCTCATATACCCGAGTGATTGTTCGACATAGACTTCTTCTTTGAGCACACCATTCAAAAATGTTGTCTTAACATCCATTTGAAATATCGGCCATTTGAATTGAGCAGCTTGAGAAATGAGCAATCGAATTGTCTCCATTCTTGCAACAAGTGCAAACACGTAGTCATAGTCAATCCATGCTTTCTGTTTGTATCCCTTCGCAACAAGTCGCGCTTTGTATCGTTCTATTTCTCCTTGAGCATTCATCTTTTTCTTGAATACCCACTTTACACCAATGGGTCGACTACCTTTTGGAAATTCGACTAGCTCCCAAGTGTTGTTGCGGTCTATTGCTCTAATCTCTTCGTCCATGGAACTTTTCCATTTCTTGTCTCGTAACGTTTCTTCGAAACTGATGTTTTCAGCATCTGTCATAAGGAACATAAGGTGTACCCCATTTGTCGAATCATATAAATCTTGCAAACTTCACATTCTGGGTTGTAGAGGTTTATCTTCATTTTCAGTGTCTTCATGTTCTGTTGAAATGCTTGTTGGTACAACGACAAATGATTCTCCGACTGTGTCAATAACTTTTGTCGAATTGTTCTAGTCCCACTTGCTCGCTCCGTTTATTCGAACGTCTCTACTTACGATCACTTTCTTGCTTATAGGTTCGAATAGATTGTACCCTTTTGTCTTCTCATCATATCCAATGAATATATATATTTGACTTTTCTCTTCAAGTTTCGTTCTTCGTTGATCTGGTACATGTGCATAAGATACACTACCAAATACTTTGAGATGAGAAACGGTTGGCTTATGTCCGCTTCATGCTTCTTTTGGTGTTTGATCTTCTAACTTCGAATATGGACATTGATTCTGAACATAAATAACACATTGTACAACTTATGCCCATAATTCTTTCGACATGTTCTTTCTCTTAAGCATTGATCGAATCATGTCAAGAACAGTTCGATTCTTTCTTTCAGCCACACCATTTTGCTGAGGTGAATATGGTGCAGTTAGGAATCTCGTTATGCCCTTCTCTTCACATTACTTCATAAAGGCCGTCGAAGTGTACTGACCACCTCTTTCAGATCGAACTGCTTTGATATGTCTGTCGGTTTCCTTCTCCACCATTACTTTGAACTTTTTGAACACCTCTAATACTTCAGACTTTTCTTTCAAGAAATAAATTCAGGTCTTTCGTGAGAAATCATCGATAAAGGAAATGAAGTACCTTTTTCCACTGAAGGATTCTGGAGTGATTGACCCACATATGTCAGTATGAATCAACTCGAGAATATGTTTAGCTTGATATTCTGTCTTCTTTTGAAATGAGGTTCTTGTTTGTTTGTTGAGCACACATTTTTCACAAAACTTTCCTTCATAATCAATGTCTTGTAGTCCGTGCACCATGCTATTTTTTGCCAACCTTCTCAAACCAGCATGATGTAGATGACCAAAGCGTAAATGCCATAGTGACGCTTTGTCTTGCATATCGACTTGTAGACATTTCTCTCGAACGTTCCTCAGATTCAGTTTGTACATTCAATTTCTTTCCATTTCGACATAGGCGGTCAGATGTCCTACTTTGTCCTTCAAATGCAGTATTCAATCTTTTATAAGTATCGAAAAACCTTTTTCTGTAAGTTGTCCCAAACTCAAGATATTGGTCTTGAGATCTGATACATAGTAAATATCTTGGAATGATCCAATCAAGCCATCCTTCTGTAAGTAACTGATTGTACCCTTTCCTTCGACCTTCACTTTCGATACATCTCCAAAAGACACGTTACCATCTTCAATTTTTTTTCATTTCTTTAAAAAGGTGTTTGTAACCACGCATGTGATTACTTGCTCTTGATTCAAGATACCAAACATGGTCATTATTGGTGTTGATTTCATTTTGAGCCATCAGGAGAAAACCTTCATTCGATTCAGCTTTTAAGGCTAGATTGGTTGTTTCTTCTACCTTCTCTTCGATTCGACAATCTTTTGCAAGATGTCCCACTTTATCACAGTTATAGCATTTGTAGGAATTTCAATCCTCCGCGTAATGACCATACTTCTCACACTTGTAACATTCGAAGTTGGAGTGGTTCGACCGACCACCTCTTTGACCACGTCCTCTGCCACGCCAATTTTGTTGGTTCGAATGTCCTCTCTTGAAGTTGCTGCCTCAACCACTTCGACCACTGTCACGACCTCCACGGCCACGTCCTCTTCCTCGAAAGTTTTGAGAAAAGAGTACTTTTTCGTCTTTGATCGACTCCTTGGTTTGATTTGCTTCCTCGACTGCTTCTTCCTTCTTTTTCATCTTACGTTGTTCATGTGCATCAAGAGAACTAGCGAGCTCTTTGACTGAGAGCGTCGAAAGGTCCTTCGACTATTCTATTGCACACACAATATTCTCAAATTTATCTGTTAAAGATCTCAAAATCTTTTCAACAACTCGTGCATCAGTTACTGTTTCGCCATTTCTGGTGAGTTGGTTCACCACCTTTTGTACATGTGTGATGTAGTCGGATACAGTTTTTGTCTCCTTCATCTGTATCCTCTCCAATTCTCCACGAAGAGTTTGGAGTCGAACTTGCTTCACTCGATCTGCTCCTTTGAACACTTTCTCTAACGTGTCCCACGCTTCTTTCGAAGTAGTCGAGCCGACAATCTTTTCGAAACCTGATTCGTCAATAGCCCTGAACAACATGTATAGTATCATTTTATCCTTTGATTGCGTCTCTTTCAACGCCTTAGTTTGAGTTGTCGTATGTCCCACAACATCTGCTGGTTCTTCAAACCCATCGTTGGTCACCTCCCACGCGTCTAGAGATCCAAGAAGAGCTTTCATTTGGATACTTCAGTTTTCATAATTTGACTTCGTTAGCCGTGACAACGACATTTTATTCATCATGTTTGTCATTAGCTCTGATACCAATTTGTTAGAAAGGAAGCAAATACTTTTATAAGTTTTTATCAAATAGAATACAATTTTAGTCTTTACATAAACTCAAGGGCTTCTACTATTCTAGGAAAATAAATGATATTAATAAATATTATTATAAGTCACTATCTTTTGGTCTTCAAATTACAATAGACTTTTAACATTTCCACTAACTTATTAATAGAAAGTCACTATTTTAACATTAAAGTTTATTCAACCGTTGCTAGAATCCTCATTAGAAGTAAATACTATTTGCTGTTGAATGAGAGATACAATATTTCTATCAATGATATGTGTATCGATTTGAAGCATCGTGAAGGGAATCAGACGGACACCACAGACTCCGGGGAAAGCTCCGATGATGATGTTGATGAAAGATGGGAGTTTCACTCTTCCGATGAGGAGGATAAGGGTTCTCTTGTCCAAAAGTCTGTTTTGGCCACTGAAAGGTTGGGAAATGAGAAACGTGTTTCAGAAGTTGAAACAATTAATGTTTCACTAGTAGAGAGACCTAAGATGACAGTGTAGCAGGATGATAAAAGGATGTTCCAAAAAGCATTAGAAAAGGAAAGGATTTCAGCTAAGGTTGAGTGATGTGATGTGGCTAATAATTTCAATCTTTTTAATAAGTCAGCCAATAATGTTCAGGGAATTCAATTAGGCGATTGGGAGGTAGGAAGTAGGATTCAGATGGAACCGGGGGATAGTAAAGGTAGTATAGAAGTGGAATTTGAGTGTGGTACGAAGAAGGAGATTTTTGGAGGCAAGGCCCATATTTTGGAGAGAAATAAAACCCAAAGTTTGGATGGGGACCTTTGTGGTGGGAAGACCCATAGATATTTGGGAGTCTTGCAGACACGTGACAAAGGCAATGACATGGCAAAACAACATGCGGCAGTATCAGATGACAATAGCATTAACTTTGAGATCTCAAAGTCTTTTTTCTCTTTCCTTGTGCGTCCAAAAAGGAAAGCTCTCAAGGGGCCAATCATCATAGAAAATTCCTCTCAATCTTCTGAAAGGTCAACTTGGTACAGCAATTCGGTCAAAACCACAAGCATTTCTAAAGAAAACAGACATTTTTGTTATCGCGAGATTTGGTTGATAATCGGAAGATTGTAGGGCAGACTGTGGAAGACATGGACATTTTGGATCGAAATCCTATTTGGTTAAAAGCTAATGATTTGGATTGGGTCCTAAGTCTTTTAGGGTCAACAGATGTTGGTTCGGGAATGAATAATTCAAAGGGTTCGTGGAGGCGGAGTGGAAATCAATGGGTGTTATAGGTAAACAAGCATTTGTGTTGAAAGAAAAATTCAAGATTTTGAGGAACAAGTTGCGTATTTGGAATAAGGAAAAGTTTGGGTGGATTGATTTGAAGATTGAAGAGGCCACGAAGAAGATGAATTGCGGGATCACCCATCCTTCAACAGGTGCTCTTGGTGATTCTGGATATGAGGGTTGCCGCCGATGATCTTTGGAAACATCTTCGTCTTAAAGAAAGTTTGTTAATACAAAAATTGAGGAAAAAATGGTTAAAGGAGGGTGATCAAAATAGTAGATATTTTCATTCTGTAATTAAAGAAAGGCATATGAGGAATTTGATTGTTTCTTTCCAAAATGGGGAAGGCATCAGAGTTGAGGGCGTGAATGGGATACATAGTGAGCTTTTTAAGGTTTTTGAAGGAAGATTCAAGGAAACCATTCATGTACACCTTCTTTGAGTGGTGATGAATTCAACACGGTTTCTGTGGAGGAGAAAAACTTATTGGAATCAAGCTTTACACGGGAGGAAATAAGGAAAGTAGCGTGGGAATCGGATGGTGAGAAGAGCCCGGGACCTGGCGGTATCAATTTCAAATTCATTCAAGAATGTTGGAGTTTTCTCGAGGGATGTTTGAAGAGTACAGGGTGAGCAGGGATTTGGAAGTCGGGATTCTCCAATTTATAGATGATATGGTGGCCGTAAGGAGTGGATCTTGAAATAATTTATGGAGTATTAAGGCTATCTTTAGAGGGTTTGAGTTGATCTCAGGTTTGAAGGTCAATATTTTCGAAAGCAAGATTTACGGGGTTAATATTAAAGAGAATTTTATGGAAAGTGCGTCTCAATTTTTGTGTTGTTGTAGAGATGAATTACCGTTTAAATTCCCAGGAATCCAAGTTGGCTCGAACACAAGAAGATGTTCATCGAGGAAGTCGGTTGTGAGCAGCTTGAAAAAAGTTGTCATTTTGGAAAGCTCGTATGTTATCCATAGGGGGAAGAATAACTCTCCTTATTTCGGTGTTATCAAGCATTCCCATTTATAACATGTCTTTTTACAGAGCACCGGTCAATATTGTAAAGGAGAATATTAGTATACAAAGTCGTTTTCTGTGGTGCGGGAATGAGGAGAGAAGATGCATAAGTTGGGTGAGTTAGAATAACATTTGCAAACCTAAAGAAGAGGGGGGTTTAGGAGTGAAACACATAGGCTATTTCAATAAAGCATTATTGACCAAATGGAAGTGGAGGATTGTGAATGAAGAGGAATCCCTTTGGTATCAAATTTTGAGGGCTAAGTATGGTGATTTGCATAAAGCACTGTTGCTGGGTTCAGATTTCAAACCCAAACAGAAGGCTTTTGTATGGTGGAAAGATATGCTCGCGCCTAGCTCGCGTAAAACTAACTCTTTTGATTGTTTTGCAGGTAATATTTATATTAATCTTGGAAAGGAGATAAAATTTTGTTCTGGTACAGTAGGTGGATTGGGGGATCCTCTCTTAAATCCGTTTCCCCATATTATTCAGTCTGTCTCGGCAACCTTCGGGTTCAGTTTGTGACATGGGCAGTTGGCAGACTGATTCTTGGCAGTGGGATTTTCACGTCGATGCAGACGAATTGCTGGGAAATTTGGAAGCAACATATGAAGCTTTTCTATTGATTGAGTTGTTGACAAATCTCAAGCCGGGCATCAATGTTAGTGATTCTGTAAAGTGGTGGCCAAATGTCGATGGTCAGTTTTCGGTGAAAAGTTGTTACTCCTTCCTTCGTGATAAAGAACTTGAGGATGCGGTGGAGCCAACAGCACTAGCATCTATCAATAGAATATGGAGGACAGATATTCCCTCAAAACTTAAGGTGTTTGGTTGGAGAGTTATATTTAATAGACTCCCAACTAAAGACCAATTGGTGAAGAGGGATATCATTCACAGTGATATTGACAAACTTTGTGCTCTGTACTTGAATGTGGATAAATATTTAGATCACTTGTTATTTAATTGCATAGTATCTAAGAAGGTATGGTGTAAAATCTTTGTTTGGCTAGAGTTACAGAATATGGAGGAATTGGAAGGCATATATCATTTCAACCAATTCATTCAAGCTGTCTCGGGTAAGATCAAAAAGAAGAAATGTTGTTTAATTTGCCTGGCCATAATTTGGACAATCTGGAACAAAAGGAACGAAATCATATTTAATGAAGAGATATGTGATATTGACGAAATCATTTCGAGCATCGAAGTCGTGTTGTGGATTTGTCAAGAAACAGGCACGCTAATAAGCTTATCTGTTGCATATGAAAACACCTTAGGAAATGCATCATTCAACGACTGATTACCCAGCCACAAACCATGCCAAAAAGCAATACTGCTACCATCTTTAAACCTGCAAGAAATACATCCAGCAAACCCATAATTAATTGAATTGGATTTGAAGTCCACTAGCATGAGCTCCCTCCTCCAAATATAATCTCCTTTTGATAATATTTTTTTGTCACTAATCAACACTTTAACTTCCGACTTTATATATATATACCACTCCAAATCGCGTTCTTTTCCTTCAAGATCCTCCACTTCCACTTTATAAGAAGGGCCTTGTTCAAAACTCCAATGTCTTTTATTCCAAGTCCCCCACAAATTTTATACTTACACATCGGTTTCTAACTGATCCAATGAACATACATCTTATTCTCTCTCCCTTGTCATAAAAAGTTACTTTGAATACTTCTAAGTTCTGTTAACACTTTAACAAAAGCTTTGTGAGAACATAAAGTCATTTGGTTTGTAGAAAATGTCAATGCATTAGAAATCACTGATTTCTATGATAAAGAGAAGATTAAGCATAATTTATTAAATATGTATCAACTTATTTTAGTACATGAGTCTTTTATATAGAGAGAATTCATATTGTTGTTTATGCATCATCCTATAATCATTCAATTGTTTTTCTTCTCATTTATATATTATTCTCTTATATTTTAGCTGTGTTATAATTATTTCATGTTATTCTGATACCCAACAGTGCTATCAGAGCATTTGGTGTTAGTCCATATGTCGCTGCAAATATTATTTACGGTGAAATTGTGCAAGCCGGTTTAATTGAAATTATCATGACGGCAAAATTTGAGATTGAGAAGTTCAATGGGAGTAATTTCTCCATGTGGAAATTAAAGATAAAGGCAATCATGAGGAAGGATAATTATTTAGCAGCAATTGAAGATAGAACTGAGGGAATATCTGATGAGAAGTGGAATGAGATGGATAACAACGTTGTTGTCAACTTGCACTTAGCATTGGCGGATTCAGTTTTGTCTAGTGTTGCCGAAAAGAAATCTGCAAAGGAGATTTGAGATGTTCTCCTCAAATTGTACGAGGTCAAGTCACTTCACAACAGAATTTTCTTAAAGAGAAGACTCTACACTCTTCGAATAAGTGAATCTACATCCGTGACAAATCACATCAACACTCTTAATACGATGTTTGCTCAACTTACATCGACAAATTTCACTATAGCAGAAAATGAACGTGCATAACTTCTACTTCAGAGCTTACCAGATTCATATGATCCACTTGTCGTCAACTTAACAAATAATAATGTTACAGACCGTCTATACTTTGATGATGTTGTCGGAGCTATTCTTGATGAAGAGTCCAGGCGTATAAATAAGGAAGACCGTCAAGAAAACTCAAAACAAGTAGAAGCTTTGACAATGACAAGAAGCAGATCAGTGGAACGCGGCCCCAGTGGGAGCCAAAATCATGGTAGATCAAAATCTCGAAGTAAGATGAATGTGAGATGCTACAATTGTGGAAAGAAAGAACACTTGAAAAGAGATTGTTGGTTTAAGAAGAATGGTGAGAAGTCTTCTGAGGCAAATTCATCTCAAGAATGTATTGCCAATACCTCTGATGATGGAGAGATTCTATATAGCGGAGCAACAACTAATCCCAAAGGTAGTAAACAGCTCACTGATGTTTGGATAATTGATTCAGGAGCAACATGACACGTGACTCCTCGACGAGATTGATTTTACACTTATCAACCTATCTCAGAAGGATCAGTGTTCATGGGAAACGATTACGCCTTAGAAATTGCTGGTGTTGGTACTGTGAAAATAAAAATGTATGATGGTATAGTTTGCACAATTCAAGAGGTGAGACATGTGAAAGGGTTGAAGAAGAATTTATTGTCTATTGGACAATTAGATGACCTCGGGTGCAAGACCCATATTGAAGGTGGAATCTTGAAGGTGGTGAGAGGTGCTCTAGTAGTGATGGAGGCAGAAAAGTTATCTGCAAATCTGTACATTCTTATGGGAGAGTGTTGGCTGAAGATTTTGATAATATTATTAGAAGCAAAGTAAATTGGACGTTTCGATTGAAATGAAACAAAACGTCATGTTTCGAAATAGCAGAAGCAGTGTTTCGAATGAGCATATCAAAGCTTGGAGCTTCGAGTGGCAATTATGAGAATATATCCAAAGAAGTCTCGAAATGACAACAAGGTTGTATCTAAGGAATGCGTTCGAAGCGAAGAAGTGCCAAAACATTTGAAATTCAAATGCAAGCGGGATGTTCGAAGTTTGAAATATATGCGCTGGAGTATTCAAAGACACATGGAAGCAAGAGAGAGGCATTGCTCTGCATGTTCTGAACGTGGCAGAATCTTATAGCAAGACCGTTATGGTCGAAGTAGTATAAATAGAAGTCTTAGCATTAGGATTTTGTGTGTCATATCTATTGTACAAAAACACTCAGTAAACATTCAAATTACCACATGGCTAGGGAAACGAATGCAAGAGCAATGTACGTATGATAACACCACATGTTTATGATTTAATGAAAACCCTTTATCATTTCCAGTACTTTCCTTTATCTTTATGTCTAATACCATTTACGAGTTTTTGCATTTAAAGTACTTTCATTCGAAATCTTTTACTGATGCCTTACATCTAAACATTTTCTTTCCGTTTCAAATACTTTACATTTCAGAAACTGTTATACATTTCATGCCTTTATCTTCAAGTTTTTATCCTTCGAACACTTTTTCTTTTTCTTAAAGCCATTTTACAGTTCTCTTGCATTAAACGCTTTCTTCATAATTCGAATCTTTTACATTCCAGAGCATCTTTTACATTAACTGTTTTTATAATTCGAAGTCATTTACTTGTCTTTTATGCAGTTTTACATGTCTTTACAATTGACCTTTATTCATGCAATTTAGTTTCGCGCACATTTGTTTGATCATACCTTTAGATCTTTAAGAGAAAATCGAAATAAGTTAAACACCTACGCAACATTTTAAATACCAACCATGAATACCTGTTCGATCATGAGAGTTACCCTAATAACCAACACGTCCTAGGATCAATCTAGTCGATCATGCGAGTTACCAGAGAAATTGAATAACAGTCAGTAAGTTTATTCGATAGTTTGGAAGACTAGCGGTTGTTTACCAGAAATCACTGTAAACAAATTGGCACACCCAGTGGGACAGATCGTTGGACATTACGAAATTTAGAACAGAAATAAAGATTGTTGAGACGTAACCATTATAAAAATACCCTCTGAGTGATAAGTTTGCCGTTTTATGAACTTAAGAAGTGGTAAAATAACCAACAGCAACCAACCCTTATCCAGAAGAAAACGTTTGAACAAGATGTCTAATTCTGACAATCAACAAGGGGAACAAAATGCCCCACATACAACAGGCACTAATGTGTCCGCTTCGATGGGAACGTCTAATGTGATCCCTTCGAATGCACAGTCTGTTGCATCTTCTACCAGTAATGTAGCCACTAATGGAGTAAGTGGCATATCAACTAATAGTTCGATCTTAGGAAATACTGGAACCATTGGTTATCCTGGGGGATTCGTTCCACAATCAGGGACACAAACCCATTTCGCCACCCCACTAACTAGACCACCCGGTTTCGATGGTAATAGAACCAGAAACTCCTCTTATGGAATGCCAACATCTTTTATGTCAGGTTTACACAATTCCACATCGAATTCATCACCACAATTAGGGTCTGGGTCTGGGGCGAATCAGTTTATGACAAATAATCAAGGGTCAGTGGGTTATAGCACAATGCCTATTTTAACCACAGAAAACCAGTTGGCCTTTAGGCAATTGATGGATGACAGTAACCATAATATGATAGGGGTGTTAGCACAAACTATGCAGGAAATATTTGCCCCAATAGTACAAAATGTGACTGTGACAAACAGAGAAAACGCTGATAACATGAGTCGAATAGCAGATTTCTTTGCTCCCCCAGAGAGGCGTAGGCAGAATCAGGCGGGAGTTCGAGCAAACATGCCTGTTATGGAACAAGTTGCTAACGACCCAAACTATAGACCACCTAGAGAAGAAAACTTGGGGGCAAGGGCACAAAGGCTAGAAGCCCCAATGATCCCAGGCCCACAAAGAGAAATTATGGAACCAGGGGCAAGGGTCGAAAGGCTGGAAGTCCCAGAGTTTCGAGAAGAACAACCTAGGGGGGTTGTCATGGTGGGTCGAAATCAAGATGCTGATGCAGTCGTTCATTGAATTCGGAACGATAACATCTTGGCAGAAAACAATTTAACCACCATGATAGAGAGAGTCATGGCCCAGAATGGCCTCAACACAGGAATTAGAAGGCCAAATTATGCTTCTCCTATATTGGATTACATAATGCATACTGATTTACCAAGGGGATATAAAGTCCCTAAATTTACAAAGTTCGCTGGGGATACCAATGAGTCAACAGTCGAACATATAGCCAGATATTTAACCGAAGCGGGAGATATAGCCAATAATGAAGACCTCAGGATCAAATATTTCCCAAGTTCCCTGACTAAAAACGCCTTCACATGGTTCACCACTTTGCCTCCTGGGTCTATTGATACTTGGGCTCTTTTGGAGAGATTATTTCATGAACAGTTTTACATGGGACAGTCGAAAATAAGCTTGAAGGAATTAGCCAGTGTCAAGAGAAAGTTCACTTAACCCATAGATGATTATCTGAATAGATTTAGGCTTTTGAAATCCAGATGTTACACAGTGGTGCCTGAACATGAGTTAGTCGAAATGGCCGCTGGTGGCTTGGATTACTCTATTCGAAAGAAACTAGACACTCAATACCTGAGGGACATGGCTCAGTTAGCCTACAGGGTTCGACAGGTCGAAAGGCTAAAGGCCGAAAAGGCCAGAGTCTTTAAAAATAACAAGAAGGAAAGGATCTCCTATGTTGGAACTGAGGAAGCAGAAGATTATCCTGAATTCGAATTCGAAGAGGTCGAAATCGACCTCGCTGAATTAAAACAGGCACCACCTTACTCCTGCAAATTATTAGTTCCCACAAAAGGGAAAGAGATTGTTGAAAATGAGAAAAGTGACAAATTCCCAAAGAAGGTTTATACCTTCGATGTCACTAAATGTCACGAGATTTTTGATTTACTTGTCAAAGATGGCCAACTCATTGTGCCATCAAATGTCAAAATACCTCCTTTAGATCAAAGAAAGAAGAGAGGATTTTGCAAATATCATAGTTTCCTAGGCCACAAAACCTCACAGTGTTTTCTTTTCAGGGACCTAATTCAGAATGTAATCAAAGATGGCAGACTGAAGTTTGCTGATAAAGCAAAAATGAAAGTGGACGAAGATCCTTTGGACGTCGCAGACACCAACTACTCCGAGCCTGCATGCATTGGAGAGATTAACATGGTGGAAGCTGACCAAATTGATGCCCCAATAGGAGAGAAAGGTACTGAAAATGAAAGCTGGGTGATAGTCGAAGTCGACAAGGAGGTCACTGAAGACGTCCAGAAGCTACCAGAGACTTTGATTGAAGCAGCACCCTTAGTTGTTGCAAAAGAAATCCAGGCTACTGAAGGCCAGGAAAATCAAAACCAAGAGTTAACACAGGTCACTGAAGGCCTGAGGCTAGAATTGGAGAAAGTCCAAATCACGAAGCCAACTTCCCCTCAAAAGGAAATATGGGACACTTTAGGGGAACCCAGTGGAAAATTTGACTATTTGGTCAAATATTCTGCCCCAGAGAGTTCGAAGGTCCACATTGAAGATATAAAACCCACAAGATGGGGAGATGATGAAGCTGAAGGGGAGGATGTTGAGGTAAACATGGTGGATATGGAAAGACCTCACTCTGAGATGGAGGAGGTAGAAAGATACTTAGAAAAAGAGAAGTATAAAATGGAGGATAATCATGCTGGAGATGCTAGTCTCAAGGATTACCTCATGACATGCCACAAGGGAGATACAAGAATGATACTATGCCCTAGGTGCAGCATCCTCTGCAATCAGAGAATCGCTGCGAACTTCGAAAGGGTACAGAGGGCTCGAACTGGCAACAATTGGCGCCAGGATAACCAGCTATTCATGTGTTATCCTAAGGCTGGAGAAAGTTTGTTGGAATTTGTGTTTCGCTGCTACAAAGGGGCAACCAAGTGCTTGATATGCCCAAGGTGTTCAGCTGTGTATGATCAAAGCATGGCCAGAGCCTTCGAAACAATTCCCTTCGCCCCTTGCTGGAACCATCAAGAAACTGTGCAGATGGGCCCACGTTTCGATAGCAAATACAAACAACAAAGGCCCGATAGTCCTCATCCCAGGGGTGCTCGAAGAGTGACGTTCAAACTCCCTGCTGAAGTGCCAACCGACAGATGGATGCAAGTCAGAAATGACAAAGGCAAAGACAGATGGAGAAACACCGAACGGAATGCACGCCATGCTATGACATACAGAAGGCAATTCAACGTAGCAAAGAGGGAAGAGATAAGATTAGAGAACTACAAAGGAAGGAACCTCATGTCAAGATCCCAGTGGCGCAGGCAACAGAGGATTCGAAAGGCTGAGAGGGAAGCTGTGGCAAATAAAGGGGTCACTTCAACAAAGAACCAAGGTGAATCTAGCACCAACAAACCCTCACCAAAAAATCAAACTGAAGACAAACCTCCAGTTAATAGGAGGCTTTTATCTGAAGTACAACTAGATGAA